CTTAACTGATTTGACATATACTTCATTCACTATACCCGAAAATGCAACTTACGAAAAAAAATTGAATAAAGTAATGCGGCAAATATTGTCATTATAGCAACAATTTTCAGAACTATTTGAAGAAAAAATATTATTATTATTTTTTAGTTTTCTGGAACATATTTTATTTTTTACCGCATTGCTACATCGTCGTATTGCACTGGACGATTTCTTTTGATCTGTTTTAACTATTTGTAAAGGAGGTCGGAGATTCGTTGCTAGGTACAAATTTCAAATATGCTTAATTGTTGAGCTAGTTCTATTTAGGGGTGGCAATTCGTTACTTCGTTACCATAGAGGTGCGGGATGGTTAAAGAGATTCTTTTTTCAAGTCAAAGGAATACGACCCTTTTTATGAGGGCGCTTCAGGTTGATGCCTTTTTAAATTTAATAAAATTGCTCTAGCTTTTCCCTTTCTCGTTGCAGCGCAGGTAGATTAAAGATCGGGTGTTTTTTGACTACCCGGAAATTAGGCGAGTTTGGAGAAAAAGCGAATTTTGAGGACGCTTTTAATGATAATTCTATCTTTCCTATCTCTCAGAACAGAACAAGTTAATTGCAATTCGTATTCCACCCTTAGATGACTTCTGAGAACTCGACACCATAATTGGCAAATAATCCCTTTGGTTAAACTCCATCTCTTCTGATGATTAGAATCAGTAAGTAGGTGACAAATTTAATCATTTGTGGTCGGTTTTGTTTATTAGGGGGAGTTTATAGCCCCCAAATTGATGTGATGTTCTTTTAAAGTCTGGTTATTTTCCGTAATACGCCTTTTCATACATACCATTGTTGGTGATGTATTTTTAAATAGCTTCTAACATTCATGTTCTTCTTATTTAATGAGAAAGTAACAAAGCCTTTTTTGGTCAATTACAATTCATCCATTTACAAAAGCTTATTCTTCAGGCATCTGCTTATTATTTACTGTAGTCCTAATACGACACACCGATGTTAGTTATCGATGATCCGATTCCATTGTACTTTTGAAAAAAAAAGTTTTTATAACAATTTTGACCATTTTCCGAGAGCAGATTTTTTAAACTGAGACAAAATTTTCTAAAAAACAGTTGTTTGATTCGTACTTTTTTGGATTTCTTGAAATACTATCCATAATATTTATCCTCAAATGTTTCAAAAAGTGAGTTAGATCATTTGAAATAAGTGGAGCTTTTTTGGTTCAATTACAATGAAGAAAAATGCTTATTGCATTAGGAGTAGCTATCTATACGGACTGTACCACACCACCCATCGATTAGATTAGCCCACCTGATTATAAATGGGGTACAAAAATGTGATGACATGTGTAAAATGTTTCTTCTATTCACTTTAAATCAAAAGCCCAATTAGCTTCATCATTATCCCGAACATACAATGTTTTCAGTTATTTTTTATAAATTTCCAACACTGATAGTGTGAAAACGATTTCAATTACGCTGTTCATTTTGAAGAAAATTGAAGTATGTAATAATTTTTCACTCGAAAGATTTTTCCGAGTTTTTGATATCAGAAAAAAAAGGATGAAAAATTTTTTACTGGAAAACCTTGTGGAGCCGGTGAAAAGTCAAATGCTTCCATCATGTGCTTAAACTGATTTTCTTTCGGCAACAAAAGTTTTTTTCAGCAACCATCAAATTTCCGCTAGATTAAATCAAATTTTAGACTGTTTTGTTTGAGACTGTCTGTACGGTTCCTAGGAAATTAGTCGACAAGCAAAAGAGATGATCGTAAAATAACTGAGACGAAAAAACAGTATTGCTCTTTTTTTAAATACATGAATTATACAACTGCGACAATAATAACCTGATTTGCAGTTGGAAACCAGTGTTTACACAATCGAAAGTTAATTGTTCTGACTTTCGAAGAAAGTGAGGAATATTTATGCTTGGTGTGGTTTTTTATTCAGTCAATTTTCAATATGTAAACTAAGCGTTTTCGACCAATTTTTTTTCTAAACATTTGAGGTATATTGTTATGCTAAGCTCAAATTTAAAAAGATTTTTCACCTGCTATCATTTTTTGTAAAATTACGGGCATTTGAAACATGCTAATTTGGCCAATTTGGGATAATTAATGTGCAACAAGACTGCTCGTATCAGGGCGAAGCCCTGAATGTTCCGACAGCCTTTTTAAGTTTTATGGAGCAGCAGTAATAACATAAAAAAATTAAATGAAATAAAATAAAATGAAAAAAAAAAATTTTCTAAAATTTGAAAATTTTTATGAAAATCATCCCCCACACGCCATATAAAGTACAAAAAGAGAGTCTTCGTTCTTGTAACAGATCAATTATGGCAAATAGGCTTCGTTCAACCAATTTGGAACGATTTATAAGACGGATTAAATCTCCGCTTACGCGTTAATAGCGCGAATTATATCGCGCGTTAATTGTCCCAAATTGGTCAAAATGGCCAAAATGGCACTCTTTAAACCCTCATAACTTTACGAAAAATAATCACAGGTGAAATATCTTTTCAAATATGAGCTCAGGACAACAATAGCTTTCGAATGATATAAAAAATTTTCGTCAAAATGGCTAGTTAAAAAGTCGAAATTTGTCTGATGAAAAAAAACCCACCCCGAGCACAAATATTCCGTCACTTTCGTATCGAAAGTCGGAACAATAATGATGCATGAAGCAAAACAATTCGTTCCAAATTGAATTGAGGCCCCTAATTGTTCCGACTTTCGATACGAAAGTAACGGAATATTTGTGCTCGGGGTGGGTTTTTTTTTCTTCAGACAAACTTCGACTTTTTAACTAGCTATTTTTGACAGAATTTTTAAATATCATTCGAAAGGTATTGTTGTCCTGAGCTCAAATTTGAAAAGAAGTTTTACCTGGGATTGTTTTTCGTAAAGTTACGGGGGTTTAAAGCTTGCCATTTTGGCCAATTTGGGACAATTAACGCGCGATATATTTCGCGCTATTAACGCGTGAGCGGAGAGTTAATCCGTCTTAAAAATCGTTCCAAATTGGTTGAAAGAAGCTTATTTGCCATAATTGATTTGTTACATAGAGCGAAATCTATCTTTTTGTACTTTAGATGGCGTATGGGGGATGATTTTCATGAAAAATTTCAAATTTAAAAAAAAAATTTCATTTTATTTTTTCTTACACTTAATTTTTTAATGTTATTACTGCTCCATAAAACCTTAAAAGGCAGTCGGAACATTCAGGCCTTCGCCCTGATACGAGCAGTCTGGTTTAATCTTATAATCACAATACGAAACACTAAATACAACCTTTATGTTTTACATAGCTTGTGTAGGGATAAAATGAAGAAACAATGAATAAGAAACCTTTTTTCTCAATTATTTTGTCAATCATTCAACCAAAAAACTTTTCAATTGGCCCTAAGTGCAACCGGGCTCATTCAATGCTTTGCCCTGATATATGAGCAGTCTTGTTTAAGTCTGTGAACGCAAGTTGCTCGCCAATTTTCCTGTTGCCTAAGTTGATATAGTTTCGGATATTTTGATTTGCTTGTCTTCTAACTTCCACTTTTTACAAAAACTGCTTGTACGAAGAAGTAAAAGATGTACCAAAACTTTTTAAATCAGACTAGTGTGTCAATCTGAAATAGATACGAAAAGCCTTGATACAGAGTAATATCACAGAAAAATACTAAACAGTGAGACAAGTCACAGCAAGTGTTCTTGAAAGCTGAAAACACGGAGCTTTTTTTTTGAATTTTTACTGTCTTTTTATTCAGTATCGATCGTTTTTGGAAAACCGTTTTTTTGAAATTTTTTTTCAGAAAGATTATCGTGCTTGAAAGAATTTAGAGAATTTTAACGTTGAAATTTATTATTTTTTAAAATAACAAAAATGGTGAAATCGTAATAATTTTTGATTGATTATCAACTCAAAGCATAGCCGTTGTTTGTGTTAATGCAGAATTTGTTTTTTGTAAATTCGTGTTTTTGTTTGTAGTAAATAATTTTATACGTGCTCACATTCCTTATCTTTTTTGAAGAATTACAAACTTCTCAAATTTTTAATTAAAACTGTTTTCAAACTAATAGATTTTATTTCAGCATTAAATTGTCAAAAATCAGAGGTTGGGACTGTGAAATAGCAATGTCAAAAATTTAATGCCAAAAAAAATGTTTTCTGGATTCTTTTAAAAACCAGTGTAATCAACGGTTTGATAAGGAAGCCAGCACAAATAAATCGTTTGATTTGTTTGTTGTTTCATTTTTTTTCGTTGATTTTTATTCGATTGAACGGCTAGAAAGGTTTTCAAAACTATTAAATGACCTCCAAAATTTTTCTTCCTGCTGGGGGTGGTATGTGTGGGATGTGCCGGTGTTTTTGGGGTTGTGCCAAATATTAATCTAGACGGGAGCTCAATGAAAGTTTTTTTATAGGGTGTTTCATTTCTTTTATTTGAATGGAGCTCATACTATGTATATGTAGAACATTAAGGGCTAAAAACCCAACCAGTTTCTCTAGAAGAAATTTTTCAAAATATCAGTCAAAAGACTTTCCGCGTTATCATATGAAACATAAAATTCTCAATTTGTCGAAATAATGGAATCTTAACTGATTTTTGCTCATAACTTTAAGGTTTAAGTTTAGAGATTTGTTAAGATTTAATTTCTGGTAAGGAGAAAAAATGTATAAAAAGAATGTTTCTTGATTGTTTCCTGTTTATTTTAACTTATCATCAAACTTCCGCAGACAATATTGCAGTTAAAGAATGCAAAAAATGACAGAAATTTCCCGTTGTATCTCATTGGTATCCTTAAATAAATGACGGTGTCGACTTTTCCTCTTGCGAAAACAACTTGTTTTAGTCAATCAAAATTGATAGTTGTTTTAATTATCGGTTTCTATTTTTGTTCAGATTCAGCCGTTTTATCTTTAGAAATAACTTGAATATTCGTAATTGAACTAAATTTTTGTTCACGGAATCCTAAATTTAGTTTCTTTTTCCAAACCATTTTGATTTCAGCATTTGACTAAACAACAGACAGTTGGAGGGGTTCCATATTCTCAAAACTCCAGCTCGAATCAAGAAAACAACTCAGGAGCAGGTTTGATGGCGCCTTCTAGCAGTGCCACGGCCGGGACGTCGACAACCAGGCAAGAGTTATTTTATACAAACAGTTTTTATCCCATACCTTTCGCCATACACGCTACTGACCCGTTAAAAATTCCCCCCAAGAACATTTAAAGTTAAACACACTAAACAAACTTATCTATTTTGGACTGCATATGAACGCATATTTACATTATATTATAATCCAGCAGAAATATAATCATAGTATCTGTGATTTAGAGGTAGCTATCCAAAAAAACATCCAAAAATCACAGTTTTCAGAAACGCTATAACCTTATGACACAGAATTTAACATTTTAAAGAAAATATTATTAAAAAACAATTGAGAAAAATTCAAATCATTTCCTCAAAATGAGGTAAAGTTTTGAAAACTGCATTGCTCGAATCACAACTGAAATTCTTCCAATATGATTGGGTCGGAGTACTCATTTATTGGGCGACTTTCAAAGTTGAACTCAAGTGAGTGCTCGACTGCTAATCTATCTTATCCAAATTTAGTCAAGTACCCAAAACCCAAAAACCCAAACTTGGTGTAACAGGTTGAAAACAAACTCAGCCTCGGTCAAGCACGGTCAAAAAATACTTAGGGCACGTTATAAGCAACCCTGACGGAGAGCTGTCGAAACATACCCTAGTTTGGTCAATCCAGATCAAAACCTAAAGCACAGTCACAACATCCCAATGTTGGTCGAGGACTGTCGAAACAAATCTCGTGTATAATCGAAATATACATCGAAACATGCGTAATATTGGTCAAACACTATTAAACATGCCTCGCGCATATATTAAACATACCTCGCACACGGTGTAAGCATACCCAAACATGGTCGGGCTCAATCAAAGCATATCTCGAGCACAATCAAAACATACCTGGAGTACGGTCGAACCATACCCCAGTTTTGGTCAAGCCAGACCAAATGATACCTCGAGCACGGCCGAAGTAAACATCCAGCACGGTCGAAAAATAACTCGAGGACAGTTGAAACATAACTTAGGAACGCCCAAGCCTCGATATCGCGAGAACTTTGGAACCCTATCTAGAGCGATGTAATATATTTTCATATTATTCAAGTTACCAAAAATTTACTTTGATGAAAGTTCAATATTCAATATTAAAAAATAGTTCAATTTTAGAAGCCGTTTTCTCCAGAAATCTTTGGAGCTTGAAAATTGCCATTTTGAAAACTCAAACTTTCATCTATTGAAGGCCCGATTTTATCTAAAAAATCCTGAATCTGGTAAAAACTCTCTCGTCTAGCAGCTGTCACGAATTCGTATGAAGACGAACTCAAAGAAAACAAATTAATTGTTCGATTGGAAAAATTATCAATCGGTACAAATGTGAAACTAAAACTTTTCGAATTTTTGAATTTTTTAAAGAGTTTATTAGCGGTTTTATTCCTTAGAGCAATAATAGATTTTATTAGTACCTAATAACTTTTAAACAAACTCAGCTTTAGGGCTGAGGTTTTTTCGGTATCAGGATGTTTACATAGCGATAAGCAGTCTCTCAAAACTAGTCCTATTATTTTTTACGTACCATAATGGTAAAAATTATTCCGCATGTTTCACCATAATTTACTTAGAGAAACAAAAGTTTGGCAGTATAATTAGTCATATGTTTCTCAGTAACCTAAAATAGCGCTATAAGTTTTGTCATATCACAAAAATCGTTGTGATTTGCATCATAAGGAAAAAAGTGTAAATGCTATAGAACAGCAAAAGTGCAAATGTCCCAAAAAACGTGATTGACTTCTAGTTTTGAGAGTGGAATTTAGTTTTCAGATACTTCAGAGAAGTGAAGATTTGACTGTATGATCCAATTTTCTCATATTGGATTAATTTCATCAAAAAAAAAACGATCGTAAAATGTTCTTAAAATTCAAATAAATTAAGAGCATGTAGTTTTTCTTGGAAAATTAAAGTTTAAAATTTTTCAAAATTAAGGCAATATTTTTTCTGATTTCTTGCGTTCATTAAAGTTTTTCCAACTGTCTGTTGGATATGTTTTAACCTGGAAAAACACGTTTTTTGAAGTCTATTCTAAATCAAGACAAACGTTTAAAGTTGCAGGAGAACGAAAACTCAAAGTATTTTGATAGGATTCTGAACGAATAATAAGCATGTCGTTTTTTTGCCCGTTCTTCAAATTAAGACAAAAAACCAGCCCGCTAACTGGTTGCTTACTTATTTAGATGTCCGAAAAATAAGTATTAGGCAGGTATTTGTTCAGACTTTTTTTTCTTCAACTACATATGCTCAACTTTTTTTTTGAAAAACACCCACGGTACATATTAAGAAACCCACGGTTCATATTAATCACAGTAAATGTTGTTTGATATTTCACCTTTAAGCTTTTTAAGAAGATATTTCGACTGCAGAGATACAATAGAATGAATTTCAAATTCAAATTTCAAAGCTGGATTTTAAGGAAAAACTTTTTTCTACATTTTTTAGAAATATGATTCTCAATGTTAAGCTTAGAATCTGACCAGAACGACAATTATAACAGAAAAGAATGCAAAGCTTTGAATATCAGTGATTTTGTTTTCGCTTCTGAGTTAGTATGTTTTTATAGTTCCACAAGCTCAATTTCAGCCTCCGTTCATTAGTAAAAAAGCAACAATTATTTGAAGAAATTTTTTTTCTTTTTTTCTCATTTTTTGAAAGAAAATAATACTACCTGGAAGCAATTAAATTGTTGAGACAGAAAACCGCTAGCCATAGTTTGTTTTATTATGGAATAAACTTTGTTCTATATTCAAAAAATTGTGAAGACTTTTTTTGTAGAAAATGAAGTGAATTAATTTTGTGAATTAATTTTGTTTTATAAACGAAAAACTGTGAAGTCTTTTTCGTAGAAAATGAAACTCTTTAAAAACTAACAAATGATTCAACTATTTATGTAGTATTTTTCAAAATCCGCTTTTCAAAAAAACGACGGAATCTTATGCTTGGATTCTTAAACATAACCTTATTGTGACTTCTGACATAAAAATTAGAAGAAAAAAATTAATACTAGCTATGATTTTTTGCACAGTTTTACAAAAAAAATCATCGCAAGTAAAAAACTAATGGGTTTTGAAGATTGTGAATTTGATTAATTTGGATTTGTTGTGTTCTCATAACAAGTGTTGGCGGCAAAATTATTAAAAGTAATAATCCAAATTGAAGCAAAACCGATCATTTGAAGACGAACCCCTGATTGTTCCGACTGCCTAATTTTCCAAAAGGGCAAAAATAATTGGACCCCCCCCCCCACTGCCTCATACGCTGTGTTAGGTACAAAATGATATATTTCTCATACAACACAGTTTTAAATAGACCAAATAGCATGCCTCATTTCCATTTGGAAAGATTTCTAAGACGAAACAAGGCTGTTCGTATATCAGGGCAAAACCTTGAATGTTCCGACTGCCCCTTAATTCATATCTTACAGTTTTTGGGGAAATAAAAATTTGAAAAATTATAAATTTTGGACAACATCAAAAATCAAGTGTGAAATTTTGAGTCGTACGAAATCAAGACGACCGATTAACTTTGCTAGCCTCAATTCAATTTGGAAAGATTTTGTTTTGCAGGATAAATCGTCACGCATAAATAGTTCGCGTTACGCTTTCCACATTATGATCAAAATCTTCAAAGTGCGCATAAATTAGTCCAGATTAACTTTTAATTAAATTTGATTCCAAGGAGGTGATATCTTCAAAAGGGTATAAAAATTTTTCTTCAGAACTATTTTTTGATTGCCGAAAAATGACTGAATAAACAAAACCACACCAAGCATACATGTTTCGCTATTTTCCGAAGTCGAAACAAAAAATCTCCGGAGCACAAATATTTGATCATTTTTTTTTTCAAATTTCTCAACTTTCGGCTCAGCAATTTGGTGGTATTAATGCGAATAGTCGTGACGCGAAAACCATCTTTTGTATTTAGCACAGTGTGTTGGTTACAAAAATGAAAAATATATCTATTCCACACTTTCTTCGAAAGTCGGAACAAAAAATCATTCTGCTTGAAATTGCTTTTTCTTCAGTTTAACATTGCAGTCGGAACATTACGGGCTTTGCGCTGCGTTAGCGATTTCGTTTGATTTCTTATACCAATGGGTGTTTTTTGTTCAGAATGCAATTACTGCCTCTTCAATTCACTCTTTCGGTTGATTAGCCAATCGAAAGATTGGATTAAGGATGAGTCACTAATTGCACTGTGAACAAAAAGTACAAATTGGTATAAAGGATCAAACAAATTTACCGCGTAAAGCAAGTTTTCAAACTACTTCGTTTTGTAAAAAGCCTCAACCAACTATTGTTTATTACATTTGAATTTGTTCGATTTAGAAATCTACGGAAATTAGTTCAAATTTAGAACTTTGTTAAGCGATGCCACGCGACAAATCTATGACCCTGTGAGTTTTTTTTTGATGGTGTCAGACAGTGGCGTGTGCAGAATTTTTTTTTTGGGGGGGGGGGGGGTTTGTTGAAAACTTTAAAACCTATTTTTTAGGTCGACCATTTTAATTTTCAGAAATCTCCGAAAACGCTATAAGAACCCTATTTTAAAGAAAACCCAATTTTTGAAGAAAAAAAACAGACTAAAATGACAAAAAAAAAATGCGTTTTTTAGGCGCGCGCACGCCCCTCTTTGGAAGCGAAGTCTCTATTCGAATATTTTCGAAGTTGGTCAGCCAAATATGGACATCCCTCCTTGGTCAGCCCCAACCCCCCTATTTCGGCACGCTACTGTTGTCAGAATATGTTATGATTATTATTTCTTATGATTGAAAAAACTTGTATGGCCAGTTAGAAAGTAGTTGTAAACTTTGACAATTTTTCGGATTTTTGTGACAATTTTTCATATTTACAGGCACCACTCCATGGCAAGAAGGGGCAGTCTCATTCCCCTGATAGGTCTGCACACTTCGATGGGTCCCCTGATCGGAAACGAGTTTGGGCAGCTCACCCAGATACACACCTCGATGCAGCATCATAACTCGGTCTCTGTGGACGACGAGAGGTGCTTCAGTTTGAAAGGGAGAGGAGGGAAACTGCAGCAGATTTTCAGTCCGAAGGTAAGACAACTTCTCTTCCACCACTGCACAATTTTTTGAGTTAGCGAAATTGCGAGAATTTCTGTGAGAAATTAGCGAACGATTTTATGAGCCATAATTTCGGAAATGTCCAAACTTTGCATGCTTTGAAGACACGCAGGGATTCGAAATACAGTGTTCAACCCGAGAGACCAATCGCTTACCACTATCCCAAAAGAGCAGATTCATCAAATGTAACAAAATTTTATACATTGAAAAGCCGCAACCAATTCGTCAATACTTTGATATTAAATGAAGAGAAACACCCCAGATCGAGGTCCATCCGTTTTTTGTTTAACAGGGGTGGTTCCTTGCCCTCTGCGCTATCGGCGCAGTTGTTAATTTCGGTAACAAAATCTGAGACAAATTAGAATTCCTGAAAGTGCGTTAAAGTCGGGACTCGACTAGCCCCTGCATCGCCTCGACTTAGTCTCCGCCGGGTTTTTCCCCATTTCCTGTATCGACTCCAAGTTTAACCTATTGCCAAATTGTTGGCGGTATCTTTTCTGGTCAACCCATCTAAACGGGTCTAATCAGCTCTTTAAAACAGGGTCAAAGAAGTTTAGTTAACCTAAAAAGCACAGTTTTCGACCAATTAGGTTAATCAAGGTCACCAAAAGTTCAAATAATTTGGCATGAACTATATCAAATAACAAAAGACTGGAACAGATACAATTATTTTAAAAAATAGCAATTTACCTATTTCAATTAAGGGATCAATTGAGCAATCCCCCCCCCCCCCCCCTTGGGGGGGGGGGGGAGATAGCTCAATAGGTACTTGAGACATGTTTATAACCACTTGAAAACAGTTTGGTTGATACGAAATCATAAACCAGATTTTCCAAAGAATGTTGAACGCCAAAATTACAATATCGAAGCTCAAAATTTACATTCAGAGTGAAAAAAGAATCAATGAAACTGAGGCGAATAAAGCGATTTTTTTTCTGTCCCAAAAGTAAAAAAAAAGCTATTGCGTACAAAATTACGATGCTGCGGAAAACATTTTTTGCTTTCGGATACAAGGCTAAGAGCACTCACCAACACTGGTAACTCGCTTTCTTCAATGAGGCAATGGTCTCCCAAAAAAAATTGGAAAAAAAAAACATTTAAAAAAAAATAAATTTCGATATTTTTCTTTTTCAAAATTTTTCTCGATACTCATAAAATAAATTTTAGTCGGTCAATTGATTGCGTGCTACGGACACATCAACCATCTACTTGCATTTGTTGACGTTTTTTGTAGCGTTTTACCGTCCTTGCTGGGGGCGGGGTAGTAGCTCACTTGGTCATTGCGGGGGGAGATTGCTCAATTGATCCCAATTAAGTTTTAATCAAAAAATTAGGACTCATGTTTTATCGGATATTCAATTTTGCATACAAAATTGTTCAAACTTGGTGATTTGCTTTGTTATTTTTGAATTACTTCGATCTGTTCCAATATTTCGCAACTCCTCTTTAGTTTCACTATAAAAACTGCAAATGACATCTAAAAAGTTATTAGAAACTGAATGCGCAGAATTAAACAAAAGAAAAATCTTGCCTATTCCGTAGTTTCTGCGAAATTGTTGGCAAAATTGGGGACTTTGATCAACTCATACGTCTTTAAATTGTTGGCAAAATTGGGGACTTTGATCAACTAATACGTCTTTAAAACGTTCAATCCGCTATCCCCAAACTTGATGACCAGTTTTGGCTCACAATCAGCTTGCTTCAGGCTATGGCTTGGTTTAGTTTTTGTTGCCTTCATTTGTGACAAAACGTATTTTACTTTTGTTTCTGAGTGAGTACAAGTATCTGTATTCATCTCCTGCCTCAAAAACAACATGCTTTTTGATCAAAAAATTTTATACATAAGATAGCTTGGACCAGGAGGTTCTCGTATTTTTGCCCAAAGCTCTATCTTGTTCAGTAGATATCGGTTCCCCAGGTTAAACCGGTCCCAATTTCCCAATTTTTTAAGTTTTTTTGTTCATTTTTTGACACAAGGTGTTTTAAAACAGATTAAAGATCTGATCCGATAGAGATTTGGCGTGCAAAACGCGTGTAAATTTTCCGAAAATATTCCTTTTGTCCGATGGTATTCTCATGATGGAGGGACCTAGAGATGGAAAGCAATTATCCAATCAAAAATAACAGATGTTCTCTAGACTAATAGACTTTTGCACAAACTCGAGGTCATTACTAGGAGTAATTGAATATAGCACCAAAGGGAAAGTTTGCTGTACAATTCGTGCAGGTATCCATTAAACTTAATGTTTTTTTTCACATTTGTTTTAGGTTTTTCCGATACACTATTTCGATTCCGCAATATGTAAAAGTTTTTGTATCTGCCTACTTTCTAATCGATCTGGATTTATTCGCTTTCTCTGAGATTTACGCGTTCTCTCTAAAAATTTTTAATCCTCAGTTCTGATTGGCTGAAATTAACTGAAAAATTTTTCGCCACCCTCAAACAGAACTAGGTTTACCATTTGATAATTTTGGCCATATAGCAGAAAAAAACAAAGTGCTCAAAAAACTGGAAATTTATAAAAGAAGGCGTATTGATGCTCTTTTAAAACGCAGGTAGGAACATCTGATGAAAATTGAGAATATTTTACGCAGTCTGATCATAAGAACTTCTCACAAACGTCTCGCTTAAAATTTAATTGCAACTTGAACTTTAAATTTTCAGCAACTAATTTTCCTTGACTCCATACGTCATCTGAGATGTCACTTAGATCAAATGATGATCCAGTTTGGCTCCAGTATTATCTGCTTGAATGGTTCCGAATTATTTTTTAAAATTACAAAACAAAGTGACAAACAGTTAGCACAGGTGAAGACGTTTATTTGCAAGTTGTTCAAAATTACTCTTTAAATAATGAAAGACTTTAGTTTCATGATTCCATGAGTTGAAGGAAGGTTTTTAATAATCTAAAATAAGTAATCTTTTGAACTTGATGGCTAAAATTTCAAACAGATTCTGTGAAATTTTTTGCTTTTTAACCAGTGAGTTTTCTTCGTCGAGAAAAAACTTAATTCTAGTTGGTCATAAAAAAAACCTTTAGCCAAACCTCAATAATTTCTTTTCTGAAGTGCTAGCCATGAAATTTTAAAAATGCTGAAAAAGTTAGTCGTAGAGTTTTATACAACTTTGCAGTAGAATGAAAAGCTAATTTCATCGCATGAGCAGGTTTAGTATTTTCTCAAGACCGGGGGGTTTCGATCAAATTCATTTTACCGAGCTCTCCTAAAACATCCTTAATACCCTATTTAAACAAAATTTTATGCCAATCGACCGAACGTGGATGTCGTAAAAAGTACCCAATCTTCAACGATAACAGCCTCCATAGATTAAACCTTCATACTTAGTTTGCCTGCAAAATGTTTGTGAAATTGCTCAATTTTTTCTGTGATGTGATCAAAAATTTTTCGCACAGTTAGAGCAAAAATAGTCCAAGTCCTTCATTATTACTAGTTTTTGAAGAAAAAAAATTAAGTCAACTTATGTGCTCTCAATGTGCAATTTTTGACAAAGAGTTTTCTCTGATTTAGTTTTTCCCAAAATTGGAAGTAAATTAGGCTGTTAACCAATTTGCAATGGTTCAATTAAATTTTTCGGAGAAAAATTTTCACAATTTTTCTTTTTTCAAGTTTAATTTACTCAAAAACTTTCAGAATATGTTTTGGCTTCTTAAGTAAGAAGGAGCAAATAGCATTCTTTACGCTCTTAATTTTTATCCCGCATTAGCACAACTAAGCTTGCAACTGAATATAATCATTTTAAAACTATTTTTCTATGAGTTTTCACTAATTCATGTAACTCAATCAGAAACTAAGATTTTTCAATGGAGACCACATGATTCAGATAGCAATCACAAAAAACTTTTGTTTTAAATTGTGAGAATTCGTAGGATCCCTGAAATTTTTTCACCCAAAAGGTTTAGAAAAACGTCCACGTCCACCACAACTGGGGCAATTGATACTCCTTGCTCGGCAATTATCTATATTTATCTAATCATAGTATTTGTCCAGTGCTTAATCGTTGACCCCTTTCATTGCTTCTTTTTGTACATAATCCGTATATTGAACTTGTATGCTTGGTCGCCCTGTCTAACGCATTTTAGGCCAAACTTTGTGAAACCACCACTACTCTTTATTTGGGGCCTAGGAAATTAGACGAAAAGCAAATTAGACGTGATCAACAAAAACGAGTTTAGCTGTCTATACAAAATTACAAGTATGGGAAATTAGACCTAATTGTATTGTTCGTGTCTGATATTTGTTTACCGACTACAATTAACTTTCGTTCAGCTTTCTTAAAAGCAAATCAACTTTTCACATTCCGCATTTTTCACATGCAGAAATTGTATAATTTATGCATTTCAAAAATGTTTTATAATCTTGATATTAACATTTTATAAATCAATTGAGATAAATATTTTGATATGCAATGGGATCATATATTATTTTTTTAATTATGAAAACTTGTTTTAAGCACCCGCGTTGACCGAAAATGCTTATCATACAATTCTCATAAATGGGAAATTTCTTTTCATACAATTCCATGCAATTCCATGCGTACAGAAAATTTTATGAAAACTCTATGATAAACTTTTTCCCATAAATGGAAATTGTATGAAAAACATTTTTGCCTTCAATGGAAATTGTATGACTAAAAATTTGTCATTTATGAAAATTGTATGACAAACAGTATTCAAAGCCGTGCAATCTGCGAACAGAGAAGAAAACCTGAGAACCTTTTTTTTAAGAAGTTGCAGCCTTCAGTTTCTTAATTTTCTGCAGGAGATCTTCTCAACTCTTTAGATAGCAGCAATGTCCTAGTCATAATCTTAAGGGGGGAGTACTGGAAAAGTGTTATATCCATTTTTTTTAAAACTTGCTTATCTGGGAGAAAATCGTGAATCCACAACTTCTTACATCCACTAATGCATTTTTTTTAAAGAACATTACACGTGCGAGAAAAGAAAAACAAATCA